GGACTAATTTACTGTGGATATAGATCCCTTTGTACCTGTTTCCTCCAGCATCTTCACAAGGTCCTTTGCTGTTGTTCTGGGATTGATTTGCACTTTTCGCACCAAAGTACGTTCATCTCTAGGAGACAGAATGCGTCTCCTTCCTGAGCGGTATGATGGCTGAGTGGTCCCATGGTGTTTATACTTGAGTACTATTGTTTGTACAGATGAACGTGGTACTTTCAGGCGTTTGGAAATTGCTCCCAAGGATGAACCAGACCTGTGGAGGTCATGAAGTTATGCAGGACACAGATAGCCTTCACACGCCTGAATTCCGCTAGGAGGCAGTCCCAGATGGCCCCGGTCACCCAACCTTGCAGTGCACTACACGGTAACTGTAGGCAATCAATTTGAAGGAATCTCCAGTTGCAAGGTATCTGTAGGAATATGGAAGATAATGTCATTATTAGGACCTCTTTTTTATGAGGTCTTGGCTGATTTCTTTTGATTTTCCCATGATGTCAAGCAAAGAGGCACTGAGTTTGAAGGTAGGCCTTGAAATGCATCCACAGGTACACATCCAATTGACTCGAATGATGTCAATTAGCCTATCAGAAGTTTCTAAAGCTATGACATCATTTTCTGGAATTTGCCAAGCTGTTTAAAGGCACAGTCAACTTAGTGTATGTAAACTTCTGACCCACTGGAAATGTGATACAGTGAATTATATGTAATACCTTGCTAAAACCAAGTATAGAGTTTATTTGTTATAATTCATTGGTATTAGATGTAAAGGTGATCGAATAGCTCCTGATTTGTAATGTCATTAATGCATTTATTTTGAAGCAATGTTTAAAAAAAATGTACAAGTGAATAGGTTGGTTTACTTTTAAGTTTAAGTTTCCCCACGTATCTCGTTAAAGTTTTGACCAATGAGGTAACTTGTTAAGTTGTGGCCAATGGGAGAGTGGACTGGTTGCTGGGAAAGAAAAGAGAGGAAAAGGTTGAAAGAAGGGAGAGGAGAGAAGTTAGTGTGGTTGGTGAAGGAAAAACGACCAAAGGAAACGATAAAGAGAGAACAAAACCATACCTACAGAGTTTTTTTGAAGGGAAATCCTGATTTTATTTCTATAAGAGAGTGTTTATTATTTCGTTAAGAAAGACCTAGTGGAGACTGAAGCTGCCGTCGCATTGTGGAGACATTCGACATCCTAGAGGTTAGCCTAGCATCGTGCAAGACTTGGAGAGAATTGCTTGTGACGATCAACGAGTTCGGGTTTCCAACGGATGTCTGTTGCTGCTACGGAGTACTGGCTGCATTGATAGCTGTGTTCGCTGTGGATCTTGTGAGGACACCTGCACGGAACTACTATATTTTGCTGAGGCATTATCTACAAGTAGTGCGTAACTACAAATGTGGGGTGGACTTCGGGACTTTATGTATGTCGTCATTTTTTAATGAGCTCCAACGCGCGCCCAGGGTTTAAGCAAGCTTGCAAATAATTTGGACATGGGTTGTGGAAAAATCATTGGGGTTTCTTATTTTTATTTCCTTTGATGTGATACATTGAAAATTTGATTAATATAGATCTTGAACCTTATGTATGTATGTTGTATTGGTGGAGTCATTTACTGTTTCAGTTTCATTTAATGCATGGGAAAGCATATCCTTATAATAATAACCAAGTCTATAATAATTATATCTGAAGTTAATACCCTATTTGTCATTCACCCTAGCAAGTTTACAATAGGGATTCTTATTGGAGATGTCCTTCTCACCTAATATCCCATGCTGTTCAGATATTCTAAATAAGCTAATATTGTGAGAGTCAAATTCGAGCCTGGTGAGAGGGTTACATTTAAGTGAAATAATCTGTCTGTAAACAATTGTTGGACTTGACTTGACATGACATTACTTGTGTCATGCACAATGTAGATGTCCTAACCGACTTGCCAAAACTATAGTTTGTTAACAAGCAATTTGTGGAGTGGTTGAAAAACTAGTTTTAATGACTCCAACCTAAGTGTATGTAAACTTCCGACTTCAACTGTATATACAACTTGCATCCTTGGCACAAAGTTATATTATATTCTACTCAATCCATAGGCTTCATTAATGTCATTCAGACTGTTTTGAAGTTGATACAACCGGCATTGATAGCTGAGGTTCATTTCTAGGTTCTGAACTAATATTTATACCAAACGTTTTAGGGTCCATACACAGATCGGCTACATAGCCAGCTACACATCCATAGGCATACAGGTATTTTTATCCTCCACTGCACAATAAGCAAGAAAATAGCTAGCTATGTTACTTTAGCTGCCTTGCATTGCAAATATCAGCAAGGCAAGCTTACAACATTTTACATTCAATTTGCAGTAAATGCTTTAGCTAGCTAGATTTATTACATCCACTGTTTCACAAGATGACAGCCTGGTTTGCTGGTTGTTTCAGGAGTCCCTAAAACATTTAACAACCAGAATTACAATTTCATACTCATGTCACAATGCCCATAAAGCTAGCCAGGTAGCTGGCTAATGTTAGCTAGTCAGCTAGTTTGCTAAATAGTGATTTTCGTTAATGAACTTTATGACCAAAAATTCTGCATAATCGTTTGTCTCTACATTAACTAACATATTCCTCTCAACTGTACATTTTGTGCATTATTCATTATGACGTTATAATTACATACATTTGCTTCCATCCTAGTAATTTTGTAAGACATCTTTTCTGAAGAAAGTCTCCAGCCTCAGGTCGCATAGCATCAAATTCGTCATGGTAACCACTCGATATGATTGATCATAGCCCAGCGGTCGCCGCTGGTGATTTACATAAAGTTGGGAAACGCTTAACTTTTTCACTGCATCCCACGCCACGTTCGCGCCGCCCAAAGGTCCCCCGCCCAGTGTTGCCAACTTAGCGACTTTGTCGCTATATCTAGCGAGTCTTCAGACCCCTCTAGTGACACATTTTCAAAAAAGCAACTAGCGACAAATCTAGTGACTTTTTCTGGTGTCAGGGCGGGATTTAAATGTAGTGTGTTTTTTACTCACTTTTTGTCTCTCCCACGATGTTATTCCTCTCTCCTACAGCGTCCATCACAATTACAGTGAGGGGAAAAAGTATTTGATCCCCTGCTGATTTTGTAGGTTTGCCCACTGACAAAGACATGATCAGTCTATAAATTTAATGGTAGGTTTATTTGAACAGTGAGAGACAGAATAACAACAAAAAAATCCAGAAAAACGCATGTCAGAAATGTTATAAATTGATTTGCATTTTAATGAGGAAATAAGTATTTGACCCCTCTGAAAAACATTACTTAGTACTTGGTGGCAAAACCCTTGTTGGCAATCACAGAGGTTGGCTAGGCCACTCCAGGACCTTAATGTGCTTCTTCTTGAGCCACTCCTTTGTTGCCTTGGCCGTGTGTTTTGGGTCATTGTCATGCTGGAATACCCATCCACGACCCATTTCCAATGTCCTGGCTGAGGGAAGGAGGTTGTCACCCAAGATTTGACGGTACATGGCCCCGTCCATTGTCCCTTTGATGCGGTGAAGTTGTCCTGTCCCCTTAGCAGAAAAACACCCCCAAAGCATAATGTTTCCACCTCCATGTTTGACGGTGGGGATGGTGTTCTTGGGGTCATAGGCAGCATTCCTCCTCCTCCAAACACGGCGAGTTGAGTTGATGCCAAAGAGCTCCATTTTGGTCTCATCTGACCACAACACTTTCACCCAGTTCTCCTCTGAATCATTCAGATGTTAATTAACAAACTTCAGACGGGCCTGTATATGTGCTTTCTTGTGCAGGGGGACCTTGCGGGCGCTGCAGGATTTCAGTCCTTCACGGCGTAGTGTGTTACCAATTGTTTTCTTGGTGACTATGGTCCCAGCTGCCTTGTGATCATTGACAAGATCCTCCCATGTAGTTCTGGGATGATTCCTCACTGTTCTCATGATCATTGCAACTCCACGAGGTGAGATCTTGCATGGAGCCCCAGGCCGAGGGAGATTGACAGGTCTTTTGTGTTTCTTCCATTTGCGAATAATCGCACCAACTGTTGTCACCTTCTCACCAAACTGCTTGGCGATGGTCTTGTAGCCCATTCCAGCCTTGTGTAGGTCTACAATCTTGTCCCTGACATCCTTGGAGAGCTCTTTGGTCTTGGTCACTCCCTTTAATAGTGTGCTCCTAATCTCAACTCGTTACCTGTATAAAAGACACCTGGGAGCCAGAAATCTTTCTGATTGAGTGTCACGCCCTGACTCAGGGGACTCTTATATGTTGAGTCAGGGTGTGTATATTCCTTGTTGTGCTTTTTCTATGTGTGGTATTCTAGAATGTGTATTTCTATGTTGGCCGGTGCGGTTCCCAATCAGAGGCAGCTGTCGCTCGTTGTCTCTGATTGGGGACCATACTTAGGCAGCCTTTTGGCACTGTCTAGTTGTGGGATCTTGTTCCGTGTAAGGTATGTTGTGTGATAACTTATCAGTTGAATGTTGATGACAGTGTTGCAAGAAGTCAAATTGCATCAACAAGCAACCATCTTCAAGGCCTGTTCACTTAAATCCCAGTGGTATCTTACTGTATGTGTACAGAATATAAATTACAAATGGATTCATTTTATTATAATGTAGTAACAAGTATTTAGAAGTTTGATTTTTAATACATGTGCTTCCATTGACTGATCAAAGTTATTCAAACTAACAACTGTATTATCCTGACAATATTAACTAATGTGTACCTACAGTATGCCTAAACCTCACCCTAACAATCACCCCAAACTCTACACACCACCTCCAACAATGTTATCAGGAGGACGATCCCTCTTCCTTGAGGATATGGGCTTGTCATAACGTTTCCAGGAATGTTCAAGAGCACAAAGCCTACCTTGGCATCTCACACATGTTCTGATTGGAACCATGTACACCACAGGTTGTTAGGGATCATATAAAAGAGAGTGTGGACAGGGCAGGGTGGTAGAGAGGGAGTCTCCCGTCTTTGCATTACCACAGGTTTGTAAATGATGGGTCTTTCTACGGGTTCTGCGGTCCTGTTTCTGGCCTGTTTGGGTCTGTGTCAGGCTCCCCCACCAGCGCTCCAGAGGTGCAAACATCACCAGAGGACGACGAGACAGTTGCTGAGGTAATTTAGCATCACATGGCTCAGTGTGTTGCTGAGGTAATTTGCATCACATTGCTCAGTGTGTTGCTAAGGTAATTTAGCATCACATTGCTCAGTGTGTTGCTACCCGTATCGTCAGTATTATCTCAGAATGAGGCGAGAAAATAATTGTTAGCCTATTTGTTATGCTTGTACTGTTTTGCATGAGAGTCCCAATAGGCATGACGAAACTGATAGTTTAAAATGTTGTCTCTACCTGTCTCAATACTACACAGATGTGGGGTTGACAAACTGATCTTTCCAGAGTATTATCAAGCCTGACTTCAACAAGAGCCTGGAGGCCATGCAGGCATTCTTTGGCCTGGAGGTCACTGGGGTTCTGGACAAAAACACTCTGGAGGTAATGAAGTCCAGGTGTGGAGTGTCTGACATCAGCAGATATGGACACTTCCACAGGAAACCAAAATGGGAGAAGAGCACTGTTACCTACAGGTATAGTAAAAGCTCTGACTGTAGATGAGCAGTTTGACTGTATTTTTAAGTGCATTAAGTTTGACAGCTACAATCAAGGAAAATAATATGGTATTCATGGATAATTGTTGATCATCTGCTAAAAATGTCAAATCCATTGTTGCCCAGCCTGGGTCATTGTGCAATGCCTGGGCTGCACTGTACTGCAGGAGTAGAATGGGGCCCTTTTACTTGTCAGGTAATGTCAATGAGTGAGTGCTGAATTACTTGTGTTTGACAGAATCACTCAGTACACACCAGACCTGAGGCAGAGTGATATAGATGCAACTCTAGCCCAGGCCTTCCAGATCTACAGTGATGTAATCCCTCTGGACTGCCGACATCATGATCCTCTTCAAGGGTGGATGTGAGTATGGACTATGACAATGGTATGGACTCAATACCATCTCTGTATACTACTGATAAACGTCTTAAATCTTGCTTGTCCAAACACAGATCATGGGGACTTCTATCCTTTTGATGGGCCCGAACGGTGTCTTAGCCCATGCCAACTCCCCTGGACGGGACCAAGGTGGGGACACACACTTTGATGACGATGAAACCTGGACACTGAGCCAGAGGGGTAACCATCTGAACACACAACAATATTTAAGACATAGTGTAGCCCGATTAACTGATTCAACAGACTCACATGTAATGTCCTCAGGAGTGAATCTGCTTTTGATGGCGGCCCATGAGTTTGGTCACGCTCTGGGGCTGGACCACTCCAGGGACAGGAGAGCTCTGATGTTCCCCACCTATCAGTATGTAAACACCAATGGATACACACTGCCTGATGATGACAGACGTGGGGTCCAAGTCCTATATGGTAATCAAACACATTGACAGCATTTCTATAGAATAATTCTGTTCACTATATGTGTTTTTTATTACTATATTTATGGAATCCTATTTATATGTTTGTGCGGCGTGTGTTATCTTAAAGGTACCCGTACACCTGATCCCAAACCAGGACCAGAGCCAGAGCCATAACCCGAGGAGCCAACAGAGAACCCCAAGCCGGATCCCAAGCCAGACCCCAGACCCAACCCCAAAGACAAGAAGTGCAACCGGGATCTGGTGTTTGATGCAGCCTCCTCCATCAGGGGAGACCTGTACTTCTTCAAAAATGGGTGAGCTGGAGCCTTGCAAACATTTCCATTACAAGACAATTTGACCATTGTCTTGTAAGAAAAGGCCTGTGTGAATGGAGCCTGTGTTTCAAGCTGATTCACTGTCATTATAGGTACTACTGGCGGAAGAGCACAGCTGTCCAAGGAATTAGACTGACTAAAGTGAGCTCGAGATGGGCTCAGATTAACTATGTCGATGCTGCCTATGAAGTCCCAGCTAAATATGTGGTGTATCTGTTTGAAGGTACAGTAATGACAGGAATGTCAAAAGCACCAAAAATGACAGCTAAATATGATTTTTGTACTCCCACTCCCAAACTCTCTCTCGTACAAACAGTATTTCCTTCGCCTCATATTTCCACAGGTGACAAATACTGGAGAATAAGAGCTTATGCAAAGACAATCCTGTCTGGTTATCCAAAGTCAATCTCCAACCTGGGCTTCCCCTCATCAGTGACTAAGTTAGATGCATCTGTGTATATGCCAACCAAAGGGAAAACCTTTTTCTTTGTGGGCAACAAATACTGGAGGTGACTTTAGAACATGATTTAATTAAGATGCCAATAATTGATATGTCATGAATTTTTCTGTATGATAATATGAATCTTTAGATTTAATAATAACAAATATAATAAAAAATTATTGATAATTATGTTTCAGCTTTGATGAGGCAAGACGCTAAATGGACTATGGATATCCTCGATCCATAACTCAGGATTTCCCAGGCATTGGCTCCAAAGTGGACGCTGTCTTTGAGAACTTTCGTGAGAATTTGTTTTGCAATGAATACTGCAAAACTATCTTCATATTATTACATACATTAGTTTATAAAGCCTTCAGCAAAACTTTTGCTCTGGACAAAAAACTTTTGCTGATAAAGCCAATGCTTCCTCCTATAGGTTACCTTTACTTCTCAGATGGTCCAAGGCAGAGTGAGTACTATCTTGCGTACAAACGGGTGATACTGTTCTCCTGAACTACGGCTGGCTGGATTGCTACTAAGATACTACTACTATTGATAATAACATTTAGTTGTCATGAACATTCTTTATGTTCCCACAAAACATTACAAACTGCAGTATTTCGCTAATTTTCTATCTCTGTAAATAATGTAATAATAACTGTATCTTGCTTGTCTATCACTACTAAACAAGGAAAAGCTGTATGTCTTTGATATTTATCCATAAATATGAATATGTATATTGATGTGTATTGTATTGATGTGTCATTTGATCATATCTGTTGTCAGAGAGCGAGAGATCGAGTCGAGATGTTCGTTGATAAAACATTTACCATCGTTAAATAAATGTAATTGATTAAAATATTGTTTAGTATTATTGTGACCTTAGCTCATGCTCAGTTCACAGCTACAGATACAATATATTTGAGCACATCATCAGTTGACAACAGGCTGCATAAATAACTACATTTCCCTAATCTAAAAAAGTAATTTAATAAAGATAGCCCGTACGACAGGAAAGGCATTGTGCTCGTTTTAATACCTCCGAAGCCTAGTTTCCTGAAATGGTTCAGGCAGTAAAAACAAGTCGACTGCACAACGCTTTCGATGATAATTGGTGGATTTTTGCAAACCTTTCGTCATAGTAATTGTTGAGATTAGAAACAAACATACTCTCCGGGAAACTTGTTTGTTTGCTAGCGTCAAGCTTTTGCTGCAACGTGTAAATTATGTAAACAATGCAATGGAGACGAGCGAAGAAGTGCTTCAGGGTTCTCCGATGATTCACGGAAAAGAGGAAGCGCGAGCACGAATTGACAGGAGTGGGGTAAGCTTTTTCAAAATATAACGAATACTCGTACAAACTTTCATTATTCTTCTTCTTCTGTAGGTTTTATGGCGCACTACATCCAAAAGTTGTATTGCCGCCACCAACTGGACGGTTTGAAATCAAACATAAAATCAAAATGAATAAATCCATACTTAATAGTGATACTAACAATCCACCCTAATAAAAATAATACATTGCCAAAACAAACAAAACTCCCACTTCTTCCTTTAATTAGGTCTCCATATCTCCCTTCTCAGGCTCTAGGTCCTAAGAATGTGGTACGGCTTTTGCTAATATTCCATGTAACTCCTTTGCTGTGAAATCTTTCAGCCCCAGGAACCGCTCCGCCGCAATCACAATGATTTCTATCTTCCTAGATCTTTTCTCCACCTTGGCAGTGCCATTTATCACCATTGCGATAAAGGCCACAAAGTCCACCTTTTTAACCTTTAAAATGTCAGGAACCTCTTGGTGTAAGACAACCCCTGCAGCAAAGGCCTATCCACTACCATGGACTCTTCTGGTGCAACATTCAAACCCTCAACCCTTTTCACAGCTTCTCCATATGAAATGCTCTGTACGACCCTGACTTTGGTCAGCTCATTCTCCTTTACCCTTGTGGAGCATTCAGAAGACGTGGCTTCATGGTTCCCACCGCAATTACAACATGTCACATTTTCTACACTTTTATAACACATATTATGATCTTTTCCACATCTTGTACATCTCAGCTTCTCCCTTTTGCAAACACTTTCTACATGACCAAAAGCTTTACAATGTTCACACTGCATTGGTCTTGGGATAAATGCTCTAACTCTGTAGTTAATATACTCTAACCACACTTCATTAGGGAGAGACTCCATTTCAAAAAACAAAAGAACAGATAAACTTCACTTTTTCCCCATTCACCACACGATTCATCCAACGTGCTTCAATCACTCCAGGAATATTTTTAATCTCTTCCCAATCAACTTCCCACGGAACGCCAGATATAACCCCCTTGAGGGGTGCCCGGTTCCGAAGAGACACACACAACACTTCAAACTTATCAAATCGATTAAGACACAATGCACGTTCCTTCTGATCCGCAGAATCACAAAAAATCAAAACAAGCCCGCCTCTCGTGATCCTCACAGCCTTCACTTTACCCAGCACTCTCTTCGCCAGTTTGGATAACTCAAATGGTTTCTTCAAGATTGGTCCTCTGCTCAGCTGCTCCTCATTAACAAACCGTACTCCTACTAGATACGAAGGGTTATTCTCATCACTGTACCCTACTTTGCTCCATTTTCCATTCTTCTGAACAATACTCCAATTCTACCGCCATTGTATTCAGAATCCACTTCATCATCCGCTTCCACCATCTTCCTCCTTGAACCAACTCTCTGTTCCAGGATCTTCGGCGTGTCCAGCATTTCCAAACATTCATTCGCATAAACTGCAGAGTTATCTACTTCCTACAAACCTCTCGCCTGTGATCATTGATTGATAGTTAACTAGCTGGTAGTAGCTGTGCATGCACTGTCGCCGAAAACCAAAGACGAGCTAATTTCCAAAGCATCCTCATGCCTCTTCTTATTTTCCCAGGCAGTAGCTATGTTCTGCAAAATTCATCTAGATGACCAGAGTTCTTGGATGTGTGTTTTCATTTTGTTCCAGCCCTCAATGAGCAGAAACCAGACCACAGGAACTCCTCTCTCATCTATGGACCCACTGAACACACTGTCCAACTTTGAGTCAGAGATGGAGCCAGACAGACAGGGAAACTACTCCCTCTTCCCTGCCTTGGACAACATGGCCAGTCTGGCAGGAACTGCCGAGGCTCTAGAGAGGTAAGCAATGCCAAATTAACAGCATGCACACACACACATACTCATTCTGTTGTTTATGGGAAGACAAATAGGCTGCCCCTACACTGGAAAGATAATGTTGGGTCTTTCTGCTAGTACGACATGAGGATAAGTCTCTTACTTGAATATGTAAGCAGGTAGCTTAGTGGTTAAGAGCGTTGTGGCAGTAACCGAAAGGTCGCTGGTTCTAATCCCTGAGCCGACTAGGTGAAAAATCTGTCTGTGCCCTTGAGCAAGGCACTTAACCCTAATTGCTCCTGTAAGTCACTCTGGATAAGAGCGTCTGCTAAATGACGTAAATGTATTTGCTTTGTCTTAAACTATGTCTACTGTTAAGTTGCGTCAATTCAAATCTGGTATTAGGAACAAAAGAGGTCAACACGACTTCTAAGATATACTAGTATTTTAATTAATGCAAAACTTTCAATGGTAAATATGATGTTCGTATATACGGGTCCACTGAAATACCACGCAGGGCACTCAGAGAACTAATCCATTGTTACAGGTTCTTCTTCAAATACTCTGACAGAGATATTTCCCACTCCCTGCTGGCCAATCAGAGTAGAGACTGAGCGTGGTTTAGACTTACTCAGCCAATCCGTTGGCGCACCGGCTGGTCCCAGCCCCTTGGCGCTCCCTTGTTGCACACTGTTGCCAGGCATACGTTTTTATCATAACAACCTGTGGAGTCAGCACCCAAAAGACTGTACGTTCCTACGTCCAAGGACGGTTCACAGACAACAAAGAGGCAGTGTTCGTATCTGTAAGAAATACAAGTCTTATCTGTCCTACCCCCTAACGTTCCTTACATGAATCACAGCCTGTTATGTGAAACAATTTATATCAGTATAGTACAAACCTATGCTTATCATCAATGCATTCCTTCTAAGCTATTCATCACATACAGATCCAATTATGAGAAAATAGAACCCCACACTACCTAAATATGAATAAGCCTATTTCTTTCTTTCCACAGTGAACCACCTAACGATGTTGCAGACAAGCCCAATCTCACATGGCTTGATGCTGCGCAGGTAGAGTATTTTTTAACACAGCACTGTCTGTAGGCTAACTGTATTTGACATTTAAAATCAGATTGCTGTCTGTCAGTGAAATACAGCAGCAATACACCAGTCTGCTCTTTCCCAGATTGTACTGGAGGCAGCTGGATGCCCAATGCACATCAAGGAGATCAAACAGAAAATCATTGACAGGGGATTGGTTCAGTCCAAGTACAGTACAACATTATCAATTCATAAGACAAACTCTTTAAAGCCATCTATAGATATACAATGCATTTGAAAAGAAAGCCAAAATGTGTCAACTGCATTAAAAACAAAATATTTTAAACTTTCAAAAACATTCCTGACAGATCAACAGCATGTTATTCCCAGTAAACATTCCTCAACAATCCACAACCACAATTATATTCTATTTCTGGACAGTGCGAAGTCGAGCCCTGAGGCTGTCATGTACCGTGAGGTAAGGCTAATGAGTGAGACATTTCAATGGCCATGATAGGCCCAAAGCTCATAGCATCTCCATTTTCTTTGCTGTGCTCCAATGGACTCCACACCACGGCCACTATAAATTAAGCTTTTCACATTATTTTTGTTATTTGTGCTGTACATTATCGAAGTGGATATTTCAGTATTAGAAATCTGAATTTTTTTGCTTTCTGCATATTATCATTTCACTCTGTGTTGCTTTCCTCTTCCTTTTGTTATTGAACGACAGGCCATTAGTTGAACGTAGGACAGGTTTGCACATCAAAGGCCTGTGCCTTGAACCAGAGAAAATCCAATAGTACGCTCTCTGCTACAGTGTGCCAGGACTAGAACATTCAACATGATGCTCTCTAAGTAGCAGTTAACATAGGCTAGATCTTTGTCATTCAAGGTTACAACAGTGAGACCCACCCTTAAGACATTTGTCAGTTCCCCAACACCTAGGCTTGGCCTTATTATCCCACTATGTTGCAGACACAGAAAGGCAGCAGGAGATTCAAGAGGATTGAGAACAGAAATTGAGTCTTTTCACTGTTGGTAAGTTATCATTATGCAAAGGATGTCAGCAGAAATCAGTTTAGTTCAATTCTATCACTGCTGATCTGACAAATATAGACATTTAGGAGAGTGCAGTTGAAGATCAATGTATTTGTATAATTAACATTATTTAATATTTCCTTATATAGTCATTGTAGCTATGTTACTTTGTAATGTCACAGTTTTAATTTTGAGTTGCATCATTAACTTTTCCAGATATACCTCATTCACATAACATTCTCATTGTATGCACAATCATATGATGTAGATCGTGGCCTACATTGCCACTAGTATTTGAATGTGGTGTTATAATGCAATGCCCACTGAGTTTAGTCTCTCTCCATCCACAGACAGATGATGAGGGGCAGCAGGCTCTACAGTCCTTCACCACCCAGTCTTTCATGGCGTCTCCCCCCCTAGTCAATCTTCTCCAGCTCGGACTCTGCAGCCTCTCTGCCTCCCTTCCCCTCGGGTCTCTCTGAGACCAGGCCCAAGACCAAGAAAGGCCCACGCAAGAACCAGAACGAAAAGTACAGACTAAAGTACCTCAGACTACGCAAAGCAGCATGGGCCTTGATATCTGTGAGTAGTCTACATACTAAAGACAATCACTTGAATCAGTATTATTCAAGTTATTTCTTTAACACAATGTTTTCAGATGCAACATGCTTCTCCCATTACACTTAGATGTATGGAAGAGAAATGTTGGAGATGTGTAGTAGACTAGGGTATTATAAGCTGAGGGCTGAAGTCACATGGTATATAACCCACAGGAGAATGCGGCTCTCTGTGATGAAGTTGCCCACTTAGAGGAGAAGTTTGTGCGAGCAAAAGAGGAGCGCAGGTGAGTACACGTATGGCTATGTGTGCGACCCAATACCTTCCCTTTAACTGTGTTAGATTTATGCAATAAAAAAAAAACCTTCGGACACTGATTGACAGGTACTTTGAAAACTGTTTGTTGTCTAATCTCTTGTGCTTTGTTTTCCAGGTTCTTACTGAAATCACTGTTACAGTACCAGTCTGTGTCAGAGGGGGAGCTGCTCACCACTGCTAGTACCAGCTCTCACACCCCTGTGACATTCAGCTCCGGCCCAATGGGGGCGCCAGTCCTGCCTGGGGGTCATATCCTGGCCCCTGGGACCTCTGGGGCAGAGGAGGGCCTTCCTAAGAAGCCCAAGAAGGAACGAAAGGAACGAGGCAGGGAGAATGGAAAAGAGGACGGTGGGTAGAGCCATGTTTATACCAGCCTACCTGTAGATTAGACAGATTCTTATGTCTTGTGATGACGGGTAGCACAATGTTTTTGGTCTTCCAGTATTTTCTTTATGACTCCATAAAATAAATTTTCCTCAGGTCAAAAATGAATGTCGAAAAAGCGGAAGCTTGCTGAAGGGGGGTCTCGTAAGCTGGTTCAGCCCATCACTCTGGACTCCTCAGGACGTCCTGTCTTCCCCATAGTACTTGGAGGTCTAACTGTGTACAGTCTAGGGGAGGTCTGTGTCTCAACTCATACTTATGCCTCACATTTGCTCTGTATAAACACTGTCCAAATTATCTTACAAGGTTCTCCTTTCCTGTTCCTGTACGTACCACTGTGTAGTTAGTACTATAAACTGGGTGGTTCGAGTATGACAAAACATTACTTGTTACTGTTCTAATTACGTTGATAACCAGTTTAATAGCAATAAGGCACCTTGGGGGTTTGTGGTATATGGCCAATATACCACAGCTAAGGGCTGTCCAGGCACTAAGTGTTACGTCTCGCTTTAGAACAGGTGTGGTATATTGGCCATATTCCACACCCCCTCCTGCCTAGGAGAGGGGAGGGGCGTGCTAGTTTCACTCCTTGCCAGCCAGCGATTGAGAGTGAAGGGAGGTGCAGGTAGAACCCCATCAGCACTGTTAATAGGACATGCCTTAAAGTCACAAGGCCAGTCCCTCCATGCGTAGCGCAATCCGGCTACATCGTTCATGAAACAGTTAGCGGTGGACACTTGGACGGCGCTAACACTCCACTGCAGTATGGGAGCTGGGATCCACAGTGACAGAGCGTTACAGGGTGCCCTCACCCCTGAGCAGCAAATCTGAGGAAGAAAAAGTCTGTTTAAGAAATGGTTTCCCCTGACACTTTTCTTTTAGCAATGTGGAAAAGCCTGCATGACAACATGCAGAGCTGCTGACAATAACAAATAAATAATTCAGATCCAGCCCATACTGGATCAAGCCCCATGTAGCTCAGTTGGTAGAGCATGGCGTTTGCAACGCCAGGGTTGTGGGTTTGATTCCCACGGGGGGCCAGTATGAAAATGTATGCGCTCACTAACAGTAAGTCGCTCTGGATAAGAGCGTCTGCTAAATTACTAAAATGTAATACTGTTTATGGTCAGTAGAAACACTACACCATACCTTAGTACACATTACAAGTACAGCAATCAGACTTACCTGAAAGATATCTTTGGATTGAGTGACTGAGATTCTCTGAGCATAAATAATGTTGAGATACTGGTCTGAGACCAGGATCCGGTTAGGGAAAGGCCCCTGGAATGAGACGCCCTCCTCCCCATAAGCCACAGCTCTCGCCCCTAGAGACAGTCTGTAGGCCACGTCCTGCTTGTCCCGGGGATGGATACTGGAACATAAAGTCACTGGTAAACCTCTTGTTCCACATTCTAATACAACACTAGCTTAGGGCCGGAACGATACCAGGATCGCAATACTCGTTAGTATCGTGGCAGGGAAACAAAACACAAAACAGGTTGAGCTTCTTTCGGAAAACATTATGTTGTCATCATTTATTTTCCAAGCTATAGCACACAATATTTTACATACAGCAGGTTATTAAAGGAACAAAGAGTTGTCTGCTTCGTGTTTTCATTTTGGTCATGGAAAAATATATTGCAATACTGGTATCGCCCCTGTCCTAATTAGCATACTACTTAGAAGGAAGCATACTAAGTGGTATGCTTGTATCAATATTGGAAAGTAGCCTTGTGTTCTCACAGTATTCATATGTGAACTACGTAACACTTTAGAAGAGTACATGCCTATCGAATACTGTGGTATCCATTCTATGACTGTTACTTACCTGCCATAAGGAGACATTGTATCTCCTAAGTCCATAGCAACGGCCATGAATGTGTTCCTCATACGCAGGTTGGGAGCAAAGCCATAGTCTCCAGTCTGGTGCCAGCGTATGTTTGGAAATCCCTCACTTAAGGAGGCCTTTCTATACGTAGAGAGCTGAGGACAAATATATAGACAGGGTCAATGTAACAGCGTTAGCAGCAGTTGGTAACACATCCTGGTGTGATACATTGTCAAAGCAATGTAGTGATTGCTAATATGCGAGATACATTCACAGGGGATTAGGTGTTGTCACGATTTCATTTGGTGAACAAAATCAATCTGGTTTATTTCAAGAATTCAGGGAGAACACCTCCAGAGCAGAAGCAAAGAAAATGTCTAACGGGCCTTCTGCAAGAAGGACCTTATCACACAGCACTGAATGTTCTGTAAACACCAGCCTAGAGGCTTGTAGGACGTCACAACATCAGCTGATACAGAATCACAGATATGTTAACAGTGTGCCCTCGGCTCAGTCTGGTGTCAAACTTTAACCATAACATTTAGTCAGTACCTGTACAAATCCAAAGGGGAAATCTGGTGCCGTCTGCCCCGCTGAACTCTGGTGGAAAGCCATCCTCCAGTCATCAATCATGGAGGGAAAGGAACAGGAGTATTTCTTCTGATTGTACTCTGCATTTGCCTCGCCTATCACAGGGGCCAGGTCAGAGGTCAGACATGTTGTTAATACTGTCTTCAGTTTCTATGCTGTTACTGTATGCTCAAAGATGGGAGAAAACAAATGTGACTCCAAGCTGTTTTACCTTGGTACCAGATAGCTCCTTTGATGGTCATGTTGAGAAGTGGATGGATCATGGCATTCCACAACACAGAGTTAGTCCTCTTAGACAAATACATTGGAGGTGTATGTGGCATGGGGAACCTGGGTGAAAAGAACAGGACATAGGCCAACTGATATCAAGTACCATAGCTGAGAGGATATTTTAAGGTGCATGCTACCTGTATATTTCTGTAACAATGCTCACATGTTAACTTAGTTTTAAAGCCACAAGACATAAATATTCACTAGTCTATCTACAATCCATAAGAAAAGTTCAATATTTGCAGATGTAAAGTAGCATTCATAACAAACATCTCTATTGCAAGAGTAAAGCTCTAGGGTCCCTGTACACTTACCCCTTAATCCTGTCCAGGTCACAGTGTTGGAGTGCTCGTGGGGAGGACCATGCCTCTACAGGTGTGCCTCCCCAGCAGGACGTCACTAGGCCGATGGGGTACTTCAGCGTCTTGTACAAGTGGCGCCCAAACATCCAGCACACTGCAGAGTAGTGCTTGAAATCCCCACCACCCAGCAACTCTGTTCAGGGTTCAGGAGGGTTAAGATGAATACCCATCATCAAAATGTATTGATACTATTTCACAGTCAATTGGCTGACAGCTACCATTTACATGAAATTTCACATGTAATTTAGCCAATATTAGAGACTGTGTGGAGCCTGTCCATACCTGCTGTGGGGACGGACCAGGGCACCTCCACTCCAGCCAAGTCAGTCAGCTCAGTGTAACTCTGCTCCAAGGCAGCCATAAAGATACGCACCTGAGGGAACTTGGAGGCCAGACCTAACTCTTCTGATGCATTGAACACCTTGAGAACAAGACACAATAATGGTATAGCTTAGTTGGTAGAGCGTGGTGATTGCAACACCAGGGTTGTGGGTTTGATTCCCAAGGGGGACCAGTATGAAAATGTATGCACTCAATATTCTAAGTCGGTCTGGATAAGAGCGTCTGCTAAATGACTTAAATGTAAAGGTATTAAAACTATGCAGACTGACCTATTTTAACATTGCAGAGTAGTCGCAGAGGTAATCTTTGGAATCATGAAGTACTCACCTGAGAAGTTGTGAAAGCCATGTTGCTCTGTCCCCCACACAGCCAGACATCCCCAAACAGCACATCTGTGAGAGTGATACTGTGGTTGTTCTGGAGGACTGCAGTCACATTGTAGGGACCGCCAGCTTCCGTTGAGACAAGGGTCACCCTCCATATCCCTGGGAAGACATCCAAAACCATGCATCAGTGAAGCTTACGCTTACAGTGGGGAAAAAAAGTATTTAGTCAGCCACCAATTGTGCAAGTTCTCCCACTTAAAAAGATGAGAGAGGCCTGTAATTTTCATCATAGCTACACGTCAACTATGACAGACAAAATGAGGAAAAAAAATCCAGAAAATCACATTGTAGGATTTTTAATGAATTTATTTGCAAATTATGGTGGAGAATAAGTATTTGGTCAATAACAAAAGTTTCTCAATACTTTGTTATATACCCTTTGTTGGCAATGACACAGGCCAAACGTTTTCTGTAAGTCTTCACAAGGTTTTTACACACTGTTGCTGGTATTTTGGCCCATTCCTCCATGCAGATCTCCTCTAGAGCAGTGATGTTTTGGGGCTGTCGCTGGGCAACACGGACTTTCAACTCACTCCAAAGATTTTCTATGGGGTTGAGATCTGGAGACTGGCTAGGCCACTCCAGGACCTTGAAATGCTTCTTACGAAGCCACTCCTTCGTTGCCCGGGCGGTGTGTTTGGGATCATTGTCATGCTGAAAGACCCAGCCACGTTTCATCTTCAATGCCCTTGCTGATGGAAGGAGGTTTTCACTCAAAATCTCACGATACATGGCCCCATTCATTCTTTCCTTTACACGGATCAGTCATCCTGGTCCCTTTGCAGAAAAACAGCCCCAAAGCATGATGTTTCCACCCCCATGCTTCACAGTAGGTATGGTGTTCTTTGGATGCAACTCAGCATTCTTTGTCCTCCAAACACGACGAGTTGAGTTTTAACCAAAAAGTTATATTTTGGTTTCATCTCACATTCTCCCAATCCTCTTCTGGATCATCCAAATGCACTCTAGCAAACTTCAGACGGGCCTGGACATGTACTGGCTTAAGCAGGGGGACACGTCTGGCACTGCAGGATTTGAGTCCCTGGCGGCGTAGTGTGTTACTGATGGTAGGCTTTGTTACTTTGGTCCCAGCTTTCTGCAGGTCATTCACTAGGTCCCCCCGTGTGGTTCTGGGATTTTTGCTCACCGTTCTTGTGATCATTTTGACCCCACGGGGTGAGATCTTGCGTGGAGCCCCAGATCGAGGGAGATTATCAGTGGTCTTGTATGTCTTCCATTTCCTAATAATTGCTCCCACAGTTGATTTCTTCAAACCAAGCTGCTTACCTATTGCAGATTCAGTCTTCCCAGCCTGGTGCAGGTCTACAATTTTGTTTCTGGTGTCCTTTGACAGCTCTTTGGTCTTGGCCATAGTGGAGTTTGGAGTGTGACTGTTTGAGGTTGTGGACAGGTGTCTTTTATACTGATAACAAGTTCAAACAGGTGCCATTAATACAGGTAAGGAGTGGAGGACAGAGGAGCCTCTTAAAGAAGAAGTTACAGGTCTGTGAGAGCCAGAAATCTTGCTTGTTTGTAGGTGACCAAATACTTATTTTCCACCATAATTTGCAAATAAATTCACAAAAAATCCTACAATGTGATTTTCTGGATTTTTTTTCTCATTTTGTCTGTCATAGTTGACGTGTACCTATGATGAAAATTACAGGCCTCTCTCATCTTTTTAAGTGGGAGAACTTGCACAATTGGTGGCTGACTAAATACTTTTTTTCCCCACTGAATGTCTTCATGTACAAGGCAGAAAAAGTGGGACACTGAGCACAATTAACTTCAAACAATTGGTGCTTTTTCTGTTCCTCACACTTCCTCATAGCTTTTTCCTAATTCTAACAAACGTGTCACTGTCACCTTTACAGTACGACGTTAACATTTGTTAGAAAAGTAACTTGACAAGAGCTTAGGGTTTTATCAACTCTCCTCTTTGAAATTCTGCTAACTTCATCCTCAACTTCATGACATGACAGTATACGCATGCTAAACTAAGGGCATTGTTGGGATCAGATAGCTCACCGGCAGCCACACTGACAGCAGGTGTTTTGTTAGTGACTGGTCCTCCTGATAGAAAGACCGTGACCTCAGCATCATCGGGTCCATAGCCCCACAACACAGCCCTCTCTGGGGCCTTCTGCAGAACCATGTGATCCCCATAATAGGAGGCAAAGCGGAACCCGCCATCTGGAAACAAAAGATACTATTAACTGTATAAAAAAGTACAAAATAAATCTCCCACAGTCACTATTCAAGGCAATTAAACTAAATCATATTACGCATATTCAAAGTTAGACTGTCAAATAACATTGAAAGATTACCCATACAGAAAAATTATATTTAAATATACACTGAGTGTACAAAACATTAGGAACACCCTAATATTGAGTTGCAAAAGCTTCAATTCGTTGGGAAATAGACTTTACAAGGTGTTGAAAGCGTTCCACAGGGATGCTGGCCCATGTTGACTTCAATGCTTCCCACAGTTGTGTCAAGTTGGCCGGATGTCCTTTGGGTGGTGGACCGTTCTTGATACACACGGGAAACTGTTGAGCGTTAACAACCCAGCAGCGTTGCAGCTCTTGACACATTCAAACCGGTGCTCCTGGCACCTACAACCATACCCCGTTCATAGGCACTTTTATCTTTTGTCTTGCCCATTCACCCTCTGAATGGCACACAATCCATGTCTCAATTGTCTCAAGGCATAAAAATACTTCTTTAACCTGTCTCCTCCCCTTCATCTACACTGATTGAAGTGGATTTAACAGGTGACATCAATAAGGGATCATAGCTTTCACCTGGATTCAAATGGTCAGTCTATGTCATAGAAAAAGCAGGTGTTCAGATTGGCTACCGAAGTACATTATTTCTAGCAAATCATATTCATATATTTTCCCTCCTGCAGTGGATCCTTCTGGTCTGGAGCCTCAACTGTCTATGGACAGACCCCAGCCAATCTAAGTAGTATTTCGTATCATTTAGCTAGATAGTTCCCAATGAAATTAAAATGTGTTCATGAACATTAACCCCTTAATTATTCTTCATCTTGTGTGGAATTGTTTCACTGACTCTCTGTCTCTGCATTACCCACAGGGTAACTGTCAACTTGTGAGTCTGCAATGGGCACTGGAGGTGAAGGAATCTGCATTGTCATCATCAATTTGATGTTCATGAACTTTAGCCCCTAATTCTTTATCTTTTGTGGAATGTTTTCACTGACTGTATTATCCACAGGGTAACTGTCAACTTGTGAAAAAGGACACTGGAGATGAAGGAATCTGCATTGTAAGTATCAATTTGTTGTAAAAAAAAAACAGATGTTAAGTGCACAGAAATAATTTGTAGATTATATTTTGTGTTTCAGATGCGACCTTCCAGTGACTCCCATGCGACAACTAAATAATGGACCAAGTTATTTGAGCAAAAAATAAAGATTGAAAGCACTCTTTTAGTTGTCAGTCATGAGTCATTCATACAACAGAGTGCTATTGTGATGTAATGCTTTGCATTTTAATGTAGCCTAGCTACAGTATTTAAGGTAAAAAGCAACATTTTCAATTCATTAAAATACTTGGCAACAGATCTATGAAATATATTTTACCAGCTCCACAGCACGGTGTCAAAATATATTTCCACACCATATTTAAATATATAAACATATGTAGAAATTATGAAAATGCCCAATTTTGTAATATGTCGATACATTTTATTTTATTTTATTTATTTATTTCACCTTTATTTAACCAGGTAAGCCAGTTGAGAACAAGTTCTCATTTACAACTGCGACCTGGCCAAGATAAAGCAAAGCAGTGCGGAATAAACAAAACGTACAGTCAACAACACAATAGAAAATCTATATACAGTGTGTGCAAATGTAGTAAGTTATGGAGGTAAGGCAATAAATGGGCCATAGTGCAAAATAATTACAATTATAATTTAGTATTAACACTGGAGGGATAGATGTGCAGAAGATGATGTGCAAATAGAGATACTGGGGTGCAAATGAGCAAAATAAATAACAATGTAAATAACAATATGGGGATGAGGTAGTTGGGTGGGCTAATTACAGATGGGCTGTGTACAGGTGCAGTGATCGGTAAGCTGCTCTGACAACTGATGCTTAAAGATAGTGAGGGAGATAAGTGTCTCCAACTTCAGAGATTTTTGCAGTTCGTTCCAGTCATTTGGAGCAGAGAACTGGAAGGAATGGCGACCAAAGGAGGTGTTGGCTTTGGGGATGACCAGTGAGATATACCTGCTGGAACGCATACTACGGGTGGGTGTTGCTATGGTGACCAATGAGCTAAGGTAAGGCGGGGATTTGCCTAGAAGGGATTTATAGATGACCTGGAGCCAGTGGGTTTGGCAACGAATATGTAGTGAGGGCCAGCCAACGAGAGCGTACAGGTCACAATGTTGGGTAATATATGGGGCTTTGGTGACAAAACTGATGGCACTGTGATAGACTACATCCAATTTGCTGAGTAGAGTGTTGGAAGCTATTTTGTAAATGACATCGCCGAAGTCAAGGATCGGTAGGATAGTCAGTTTTACGAGGGCATGTTAAGCAGCATGAGTGAAGGAGGCTTTGTTTGCGAAATAGGAAGCAGATTCTAGATTTAACTTTGGATTGGAGATGCTTAATGTGAGTCTGGAAGGAGAGTTTATAATAATAATATAATATGCCATTTAGCAGACGCTTTTATCCAAAGCGACTTACAGTCATCTGTGCATACATTTTTACGTATGGGTGGTCCCGGGGATCGAACCCACTACCCTGGCGTTACAAGCACAATGCTCTATCAATTGAGCTACAGAGGACCACAGTCTAACCAGACACCTATGTATTTGTAGTTGTCCACATATTCTAAGTCAGAGCCGCCGAGAGTAGTGATTCTAGTCGGGCAGGCGGGTGCAAGCAGCGTTCGATTGAAGAGCATGAATTTAGTTTTACTAGCGTTCAAGAGCAGTTGGAGGCCACGGAAGGAGTGTTGTATGGCATTGAAGCTTGTTTGGAGATTTGTTAACACAGTGTCCAATGAAGGGCCAGATGTATACAAAATGGTGTCGTCTGCATAGAGGTGGATCTGAGAGTCACCAGCAGCAAGAGCGACATCATTGATATACACAGAGAATACAGTCTGCCCGAGAATTGAACCCTGTGGCACCCCCATAGAGACTGCCAGAGGTCCAGACAACTGGCCCTCCGTTTTGACACATTGAACTCTATCTGAGAAGTAGTTAGTGAACCAGGCGAGGCAGTCATTTGAGAAACCAAGGCTATTTAGTCTGCCAATAAGAATGCGGTGATTGACAGAGTTGACAGAGTCAAAAGCCTTAGCCAGGTCAATGAAGACGGCTGCACAGTACTGTATTTTATCGATCGCGGTTATTATATCGTTTAAGACCTTGAGCGTGGCTGAGGTACAACCATGACCAGCTCGGAAACCGGATTGCATAGCGGAGAAGGTATGGTGGGATTCTAAATGGTCGGTGATCTGTTTGTTAACTTGGCTTTCAAATACTTTCGAAAGGCAGGGCAGGATGGATATACAGTGGGGAGAACAAGTATTTGATACACTGCCGATTTTGCAGGTTTTCCTACTTACAAAGCATGTAGAGGTCTGTAATTTTTATCATAGTTACACTTCAACTGTGAGAGACGGAATCTAAAACAAAAATCCAGAAAATCACATTGTATGATTTTTAAGTAATTAATTTGCATTTTATTGCATGACATAAGTATTTGATACATCAGAAAAGCAGAACTTAATATTTGGTATAGAAACCTTTGTTTGCAATTACAGAGATCATACGTTTCCTGTAGGTCTTGACCAGGTTTGCACACACTGCAGCAAGGATTTTGGCCCACTCCTCCATACAGACCTTCTCCAGATTCTTCAGGTTTCGGGGCTGTCGATGGGCAATACGGACTTTCAGCTCCCTCCAAAGATTTTCTATTGGGTTCAGGTCTGGAGACTGGCTAGGCCACTCCAGGACCTTGAGATGCTTCTTACGGAGCCACTCCTTAGTTGCCCTGGCTGTGTGTTTCGGGTCGTTGTCATGCTGGAAGACCCAGCCACGACCCATCTTCAATGCTCTTACTGAGGGAAGGAGGTTGTTGGCCAAGATCTCGCGATACATGGCCCCATCCATCCTCCCCTCAATACGGTGCAGTCGTCCTGTCCCCTTTGCAGAAAAGCATCCCCAAAGAATGATGTTTCCACCTCCATGCTTCACGGTTGGGATGGTGTTCTTGGGGTTGTACTCATCCTTCTTCTTCCTCCAAACACGGCGAGTGGAGTTTAGACCAAAAAGCTCTATTTTTGTCTCATCAGACCACATGACCTTCTCCCAATCCTCCTCTGGATCATCCAGATGGTCATTGGCAATCTTCAGACGGGCCTGGACATGCGCTGGCTTGAGCAGGGGGACCTTGCGTGCGCTGCAGGATTTTAATCCATGACGGCGTAGTGTGTTACTAATGGTTTTCTTTGAGACTGTGGTCCCAGCTCTCTTCAGGTCATTGACCAGGTCCTGCCGTGTAGTTCTGGGCTGATGCCTCACCTTCCTCATGATCATTGATGCCCCACAAGGTGAGATCTTGCATGGAGCCCCAGACCGAGGGTGATTGACCGTCATCTTGAACTTCTTCCATTTTCTAATAATTGCGCCAACAGTTGGTGCCTTCTCACCAAGCTGCTTGCCTATTGTCCTGTAGCCCATCCCAGCCTTGTGCAGGTCTACAATTTTATCCCTGATGTCCTTACACAGCTCTCTGGTCTTGGCCATTGTGGAGAGGTTGGAGTCTGTTTGATTGAGTGTGTTTACAGGTGTCTTTTATACAGGTAACGAGTTCAAACAGGTGCAGTTAATACAGGTAATGAATGGAGAACAGGAGGGCTTCTTAAAGAAAAACTAACAGGTCTGTGAGAGCCGGAATTCTTACTGGTTGGTAGGTGATCAAATACTTATGTCATGCAATAAAATGCAAATGAATTACTTAAAAATCATACAATGTGATGTCTCTCACAGTTGAAGTGTACCTATGATAAAAATTACAGAGCTCTACATGCTTTGTAAGTAGGAAAACCTGCAAAATTGGCAGTGTATCAAATACTTGTTCTCCCCACTGTAGGTCTGTAACAGTTTGGATCTAGAGTGTCACCCCCTTTGAAAAGGGG